CACCTAAGAAGGCCCTAATGAAGTCCTCTAATGGCACTCTACAGTGAGCTTCCAGACCTTCCACTTTTGACTGATGCTGCATCCTTAATCCTGGTAACATCCACATTAAGACAAAAGTTCACCCAGCCACATTCCAGACACCACAGCTGTGTTGGAGATCAGCCCTGGGCTTCCTGAGCCACAAAGGAAAGCCTCCAGAGAGTACCCTGAGATGAGTATCTGCAAGCCCATTACTGGTGACTCAAGAAGCCTGGAATTGAGCTGGACCTCACCAAGCCAAGCTGCCCAGCAGCGCCTATATTGGAGTCAAGTGCCAGGCTTCACCGATGACATGCTTCAGAGATCCATGCTGGTTGTTTCAGAAGATCACCAACAGTTAGCATTTAGTCTTCTCTCTGGACCAGTTACCTCTCTCTTCTTGACTGTTTCATGTGCATGGTTTGGATATGTTTGTGTTTCCCACAGATTTATATGTTGGGAGCTTGGTTTCCTCACTGGCCATGTTGAGAGGTGGTGGAGCTTTTGAAAAGTGGGGCCTAATGAAAGGTAATTATATGCTGTGGGCCAGGCCCTTAGAATGGATTAATGCTGGTCTTTGAGAATGAGCTAGTCTTTAAGAAAGGAGGTTGTTACAAAGCAATGCCACACCCATGCTTGGGCCCTGCTTGTATGTTGCAAGTTCCCTTTCTGCTGTTGTACAATAGGAAACTGTCACAAGACGTTCAAGAGATGGTACTGCCTCGTCTGCATCTGTCATCCTCTCAGACTATGAGCTAAGTAAACCTGTTTCCTTTATAAAGACTCAGCCACAGATGTTTTCTCATAGCAACAGAAAACAGAGTAAGTTGCCATCAGGCTCTATTTTGCCTACAAAGCTGGACCACATTATTGCTTACTGCTCCCCTCACTTCAGCTAATTTCTCATGTTGGTACCACAGTTCAGTGCCTGCCTTGTCTCCAGTATGTGTGCCATGCTCTCCCATTCACCTGGGCCTATTTCCTCACCTTTACCCAACACCCGTCATGAATGCTTTCTTCTCCCTGCTCATCCTCACTCCTCCAGGCTTTAAGAATCTGTTTAAGTCCTGCCTCTTATACAAAGCCTGTCTGGGCCTTCAAATGATCTTAACACTCCTTTTTCTTTCTTGCATGCATTATCATCCACAAATCAGTCCCAGTGCCATCCCTGTCACCAAAAACTTAAAATAAAAAGATGATATTATCAAGAAATAGAGCATTGATCAGAAAAAAAAGCTATTGATACCAAAGGAGTAAGAAGCCCGGGATTCCCAGAGTGCGGGCTCTACAACAGGGAGAAGAGGACAAACGAGCTTCATGTTACTGTCAGTGTCCCAGCTCTCCCAACACATCCAATGTGGATTAATTGTTCATGATTACAAGTAGCTGATCAGTCCAGTGTGGTAGCATAATCATGCCATCCTAGCCACTTGCAAGGCTGAAACAGATGAATGGAAAATTCAAAGCCAGCTTAGGCAATTTAGCAAGGGTCTGTCTTAAAATAAAAACGGGTTCCAGATGAGGCAGAAGGCAGAGACCAGGGTCCATCCCCACTACAGCAACGAAGTACATAATAAAAGTAGATCATGAAACATGAAACCTTGGCTGCAAAGCAGTGTCAAAGAGCCTAGTAATTGCTGGATTCTGTTTATGATTGATAAACATAAATACCTTCTTTTGCAGTGTATGGCTTTACTATGATCTGAAATTGCTCAACTATAATAAAAGTTTTCATACTGAACATTTACCATGCAACAAAGGAGCATGATATCGGTATGAATCTATGGTATCAGGGAAGAAATCAAGATATTTCCCCCTGTTTTATTCTTACTTTACTAGTTTTTTTTGTGTATGACAGCATCTTACTATGTGGCCCAAGATGGCCTCAAACTCATGGTGATCCTCCTGCCTCAGGCTGCCCAGTGCCAGGATTGTTAGTACATTTGTGGTACATAACAAATATGTTGATCATGGGGAACTGGTGTATGCACACATCACATCTTGATCCCGTTTACTTCCCCTTTCTCTCCCCTCCCTCCAAACCCTCTTCACTGCCTCTGCTTTCTTCCTCTTCCTCCTGTTTGCCTTCAAAGGGACCCTGGAGAGTCTTTGTTTTCTATGCTGACAGAGGCAAACCTTTTGACTGGTGCCACTGCTCTTTTTCTCTCCCTTCTAGACAGACATCCAGCATGCAGCAAAAGACAGTGAAATTGTACACCTGAGGCTCACACCCGACCATTCTATATGCCCTGTCATCCTCTGCAAGGACAGTGTCTCACACAATTCCACCAGAGGCAGAACACTTGTGACAATCTGACCCTGTCCGCCAGGAGTGAGGATCACATCCTTTACACACTGATCTCCCCACCCAGCCTCTGAGCCCAAAAGGAGACTTTGCTCTTCTAGCCCACACTGGAACCCCATCCATCCGTGTCTCACCTGCAGGAATGATTTGAGCAGCCCTTTTCTGTCCATCTGCAGCAGGTTCCCCAGGAAGGGCAGAGGACGTGGACCTGGTGGGAGGTGGCCATGGGTCTTTGGGTGGCCCCTGAACATGAGAAGTAAGAGGCCTGAGAGGAGAGCAAGGACCAAGAGGACGGTGAGCCCCATGGCTCTGGTCTGACTGCTGTCCACCCCTCTGAAGCCTCGTGCTGAACCTTTTATCTTCAGCCTTCTTCCTCACCCAGTTATGCAACTTCATCCATTCTCCGCCTCCTCTCTCGTGCTTATCCAGGGGTGTGATTCTAGAAGAGAGTTACCAGGCACGCATACTTCCTGTTTGGGCCACCCAGTAATCTGCTCACTCCCCAGCAGTTCAGCTCCTCCTTAGATGTTGGCAGAGATACTGGGAAAGAGAGGCCAAGGTGCACAAGAGTTTATGTCTGTTAGTTGGGTTTATGTGTTGTCAATTCTCTCAGTGTGATTTTGTCTCCTTAGTTTAGTCTGTCTGTGTTCACTTGCAGCTCTGTACACTTGGATGTTTCTTATATATGGAGCGTGCCTTTATATGTCAATATGAATGTGTGGTTATGTGTTTCTTTGTGTCAGTCTAGGTGTGCTCCTGTGTACATTCTTGCACTTCTGGGAGCATCCGGGTATTTATTTGGTTTCACATGAGAAGGTGTGTTTGCATTTGAGTAGGGGGTGGTGGGGACTTCCGCTCCTGTTTGGGAAGTCCAGTATTCTGCTGACTCCGAGGACTTTAGACCCCCAGCACTTGTGGTGAATCTGCATGTGCTGGCTGTGCTTATGCTGGCATATGTCTATATCTCCTAGGCAGGCTTTGTAAGATCTGCAGATGTCCCCAGAGTCCACCCTACACACTCCGGTCTGGGATAGCCACAGGTGGGAGTGATGCGTCATGTGGAAACAGAGGAATTATAAGAGGTGCAGGACTGGTGAGACTCATCAATACAGGGAGGGGGAAGGGACAGAGACAGAGACTGAGACAGAGAGAGAGAGAGAGACCTGGCAGAGAGAGCACCTAGGATCCTCTTGGTCTCTGATTGCTCCCATTAGTTCTGGGTGGTTCCCACCAGTCCTCTGGCTGTCTTCATAGTGCAGAAATCTCTGGCATGTCTGTCTGTCAGTCTTTCTGTCTGTCTCTCTCTCCTTCTCTCTCTGACTCAGTGTCTATTTCCTCTTTAGATGGTGAGGTCCATTGTTCCTTAGTCTGTTGTCTGCTGCAACAGAATACCAGAGACTGGGTGACTGACAGTGAACTAGAATTCACTTGGCTCATGGTCCTGGAGGTGGAGAAGTTCAAGCCTTTACAATGGCATCTGTTGAGGGCCTTTCGCTGCATCATAGCATGGCTGAAAAGCACGGAGAATGCCTCAGGCACTTTGTCAGGGAAAAGAGGAGTGGAACTCTCTCCCTATGTTACTCCCACAGTGACAATCTACTCATGAGTCCAGAGCCCTCCTTACCTCATCAGCTCTTTTTACAAAAAACTGTCACTTTTTATGAGAATGTACACAAATAAACCACAATGAAAATTGGTATGCAGATTCATCCAAGAACTACAAGTAACAGTTCCATTCGACCCAGCTATTCCTCTTCTAGGTATCTTCCTTAAAGAGTTAAAGACATCACATCACAGTGATATATGCACACCCATGTTTATAGCAGCACCTTTCACAATAGCTAAATCTTCGAAACAGCCTATGCATCCATCAACAGAGAAATGAATGAAGAAAATGTGGCATTCATCACAATGGAGAACTACTCTACCGTAAAGAAGGACAAACTTAGTCATTTGAAGGAAAATGAATGCACATTGAAAGCATAATGCTAAGTGAAATAAATAAAACACGCAAGCTTCAAAATCACACTGTTTCTCTTCCATGAGAAACCCAAAATATGAACAAAATAAAAGACAAATAGTCAGAGGGTCAGGGATATAGCTCAGTGGCACAGCACCTGCGTGGCAGGCACAA